GTACAATTAAGATGATGGATGCAGTCACTGGGCTTCATCTTCTTTTGCACCATAATTAAACCAGCCAATCATATCTCAGAGTCATAAACAATTTCCATCTGGTATTCAAGAGAGTAACAGAGTTCATCTGCATATTCATCACGTGGCATGTACATAAATAAGAAAGGTCTGCTGATTACTTGCCCTACTTCTACTCTAGTGACATTCATAACCATTAGGATCTTCTAACAGCAGGTCAGACTAGCTGAATTTAACCCCAGTATGAATGAAAGGACACATTCCCATACCCTTATTGAATCATGATCAATTAAATGCAGAATTTCCCATCAAAACAGTAAACTTTACTATTGTCCAAGTGATGGGTTAGGTGCAGGGAAAAAACAGTAAAAACAAATTATTGCCATGAAGTAGATTGATGACGACATCCAAACAACAGGAAAATTCAGTAAGCAGGAACAAAAAATATCACCTCTTTCATATGTGTTTCCCTCTTTTTAGACATGTAATTTGCAATTGGTCACAGTTCCCTATTTATCATTAGAATTTGTATCTTGAGAGCATTGTGCTAAGGCAGGAAGGCAAATAATAGTAATGAAACGCACAAGAAAACCACACTCTACCAAATAAGTGCTTATGTTAATGTGCTGTTTTCAAAGCCTTTTAAATCCCAAACAAATAAATCCCTCAATCAGCATAAATGGACTCTTGGGAAAGATGAAGGAAACTGCACTATTGTATGTTTGTGTTAATTTGGAATTAAGAACATTCCTGTAAGGCTTTTGCTTCCTCCAAATCCAACAGTGTGCTTTTTAACTCGAGTTAGATTAAAACTATCAATAACTCTGTTCCAGCATGATTCAGGGGTACAGCTGAAAACCAGGTAAGGTGACATCCATCTGTCCACAGTGGGGAAAAAGAGATTTTAAACAGTTCCTGGTATCTCATTAAACTTCATATTCATTTGAGAAGCTAGTATGAGAAATGCTGTGGGCTTTTTAAAGCAGTATTTCAAGGGAAGATTGCCTTGCTTTTCATGGATTTACAAGTGGTTGGATGAAGTCACTTTTTTGCCTCTTGATTGTGTACATCTATGTTCAGTTTAACTTCCATTCTAGATACAGAGTTTGCCAGGAGCAGAGTTAAGGCTTCCCGCTTTCTTGTCTGTTCCCATTTGGATGCAATTATCCAAATAATAGGATAATTTGGATACCAAAGCATAGGATACCAAGGCTGACTGGAGAGCCTCTGCTGAGCCACCTTCACATGTTCGAGTCACAGAAGATCTTTCTCTGAGGTTGTAGAAAGATTTTAAGCTATTCTGCCAGATTCTGAGCTGTCCAGAGAATGAGGGATATCAAAGCAGCCTGCCTGATGGGCTCACCTCTATTAAGGCACTATTGCTAAGCATCATCTTTTAAAATCAAGTGCTAAATCCTCAGCTATTCTCACTCATGATGTTGCAAACTGTACAGTTATATCTTTATTTATACCAAGGAATAATCACCCAGGTACTAAAAACATATTTATGTGCATAGGTACACATAGGGTAGGTACTTATGCCTTGGTTTTAGTAACTAACAGTGAAAATGAGCATAAAATGGTGGGGGACAGAAGTTTTCTTCTGTCCTGAGGTCATCTCATTTGCGCCCTTAGCACTGGGATCATAGACTTCCAGAAGAATTGTTATCCTTGTAGGAAAGTTAACATCGGACTTCAATATTGCAAATCCAACACATTTTGGTCTATTGTGAATTTGAAACACCTCAGAACACTCTGCAAAATACATATTTCTGTATTTTAAGCATTTTACTTGCTATTTCCTGCAAGTCACCACCTTGTGTTTTTGCTATTCACTTGCTAACTTCCCCTCTGAAAGCTATAAAGTCTTGTTCACAGGATTTGAAGTACATATTTTCCATTAAGAGGTATGGAACCACGTTGTGCTCATGCATGTTACTTTAAGTTAAAAAAATGAGAAGGAAAAAGCATGACATCAGACTTGGAAACGGCAAAACTAAGTTCAGAAGCAAATACATGCACTGGTTAGATAAGGATGGATTAATATCAACAGGCTATTGCAGCAGGAGTGCTCAAAATGTCAGATATGTACATCAGCCCCTTTCTGACATGGTATTTCATACAGACTGCAGGGCAAACAGGATTCCTGCTGGGAACTCTGCATTCCCATCGAGTCAAATGGGTACTACTGGTAATTGCATGATGCAGTTTGTCACTCGACCTCTGCCTCGGCTCAGGCACCAAGAGGCTGATGTTTAATTAGCTGGTGATGAGCAGCTGGCCTAGATTCAAGCAAATCTCTGTTCTTCAGATTCAAGCAAAACCTCTGTGACATTTAACCACATAAAAATCCAGATTTGTGCCTCATTGATATCTCCACAAAGCTGCTTTAAAAGAGCCACTGGTTCTTTAAACTATTGATAAGCACCAGCATTGTAGAAACAGTCTGGGATTCTGCTGGTTTCATGCCTGTGACTAAAATCTTAAATGCAGATGTATCCAGGTAACCATTATCAGCATCAAAATAAAAGCATAGTGGGCATAGTACACAACAGTCTCCTTTTCCCACATTCTACATTAGCCAGCCACGAGGCAGCTTCATTAAAGCGCCATGTAGCCATTCAGCCTGATGCTGACTTAAGAGGAAGCAGTTCATACAAACCACAGTCCAGCACTATGCAGCCACATAGCTTGCAACCCAAAACTTGCCCTAGGCCAGAAAGCACAGGCACTTGTGTGTGAAACACACTGTGTAGATGTGTTCCTAAGTAGTATTTAAAGCCACAGATTCAGAAGAATGATCCTAGCATGACTCATGCAAAATTCATTTTCTAGACCAAACACTGCAGTGTAAAAGGCAGCAGAAAAGCCAGGAATCAGTCACTCATCTGCTACTTTAAAGCAGTGACCTATATCTAGTAGCCAAAGACATTAGAAGACACAGCTTTACAGCAACAGGAGATTAGGCATAGTGAGGAAACAATTGCTCGATGCAATTACAGCTTCCCAGCAGAATTGAGCCCTCCCATTTGCACTGTGGATCTCTGTTGTATGTTTGGAGCTTGTTCTACTAGGAATCTCCCAGTGCTGTCACATGCCATCTATCCAAGCGTGCTCTGTGCGGCTCACACGGGAGCTACAGATGGGTCAAAGAGGAAAACTTGCACTGGAAACATGGAAAAGGAAAAAATCCAAATTCCCCCAGCCAGCTATTTTCCTGAGGGAGTGGGGAAAAAAATAATAATTATAATAATATATATATATATACATACACATATACACACACACACACCACACAGAGCCACATTTCTACATTCTGATATGGCAAGCAAAGCAGAACAAAAATCATCTGTCAGTTCCACACAGCAGAACCTAGTGCCCATATGCCACTGTTTCTCCAGAAGAGTATTACTGTTTCAATATGCTGAGTTCACATCATTTATTCCATGCTCAGTGGGCAAAATGAACCCAAACCATCCATCTACGTAATAAGAAAGAACTAATCCTCATCCATGTACATTCCCAGAAATGGCACTTGTGGAGGGAAATGGTGGCGACCAGGGGAAAGGGAATTTTCTTATGCTATTAAACAACAGTAATAGCCACTGCAGCTGCTGCTGCAGCCTCTGCTTGCTACAACCCCAGTGCCACTCTCTGACCAGCCACAGACCCACCAGCTCTCAGCCAATTCCAGTTCTTCCCCAAATGATTCCACCCTGCTTTTGCAAGGGGGGTTATTCAGTGACACAGCCCTGCTTATGCAGTGTGCTTTCTGTTCCCATGGCACAGTGAAACCACAGTCACTGCCTGTGCCCAGCATTTGCCAAAGCCTGGGAATACAGGCAGACTTTGCCGCAGCCTGGGAATACAGGCAGACTTTGCCGCAAGGGGAAGAGAGCACCTGGGTAAAGAGCTAAGGACCTGCAGTCATGTTTTATGCATTGCAGCTCTGCCAACACACTGGGCTGTGCTGAAAGTGATGGCAAACCATGCTTCTAGTAGCTGTGGAAGCTGCTGTCTGCCTGACGAGTGCAAAGGAAGGGGCGATCTTCACCTAGAGAAGCTCCTCTGATAGTACTTCTTTGGGGGGGGGGGGGGGGGGGGCAAAGCTTTAAGAACTCAGCTTGGCAATCCACTTGGAATCACCAGGGGCACCCACCAAATGGCCACAGTTTGGTTTTGTTGAAGAACCAATCTCTCTTCTTAAAATCCCATTCCTGATGGGTCATAAGAGGCCTGTGCTCGAGATCTATGTATTTTAGCTTCTAGTTCTTTACATTTTTCCACAAACTCGATGGGTTTGGCTGAAGGAAAGCATAACCAAAAGGATTTATGTTTTGTGCTAACATGTTTCCATGACATTTTCCTGTTACAGAGATTGCTTGAAAGTGGGTAAAATAAGAGCTGTCAGCATGAGTGCAGATCTTGTACATGACTGTCCTGCACATAGATAATCACAGACTAGTTTGGGTTGGAAAGGACCTTAAGCTCATCCAGTTCCAAACCCCTGCCATGGGCAGGGACACCTCACCCTAGAGCAGGTTGCCTGGCCCTAAACACATAAATCGTGCATCATGCACCACACTGCCTCCTAAGACTCTTGACTAAAAAGGATGGGAGGCATTTCCTGAGTTTTTTTATCACCAACATATTTCCCTGTAGGGGATGGGGACAGATGAGATACTCACTGTGGTGGGCTGACCAGGCTGGATGCCAGACACCCACCAAAGCTGTTCTACGACCCCTCCTCCTCAGCTGGACAAGGGAGAGAAAATGTAAGGAGAGGCTCATGGGCTGAGATAAGGACAGAGAGATCATTCAACAATTAGTCACAGGCAAACAGATTCAACCCAGGGAAATTAATTTATCACCAGTCAAATCAGAACAAGAGAATGAGAAATACAACCAAATCTTTTAATACATCTCCTCACCCCCTTCTTTCCAGACTTAACTTCACTCCCAAATTCCCCACCCCCTCCTACCTGAGCATCACAGGGGGATAGGGAATGAGGGTTGACATCAGTTCATCTCATGCTGTCTCTGCAGCTCCTTCCTCTCTGGGGGAGGACTCCTTACACTCCTCCCATCTCCAGTGTGGTCCCTCCCATAGCAGACAGTCTTCCATGGACTTTTCCACGAGTCCTTCCCATGTGCCGCAGTTCTTCATGAACTGCTTCAGTGTACTTCCCTTCAGCAGGGGGTAACCCTTCAGGAACAGGCTACCCCAGCACAGCTCCCAGCTCTCACCAGCAAACCTGCTCCAGCACAAGCTTCCAATGGGACAACAGCTTAATGCAAACATCTAACAGCCCCAGGTGGTATATAGGGTCCTCCATGGGCTGCAGGTGGGTATCTGCTCCCTTGTTAACTTCCGTGGGCTGCAGGTACACATCTTCTCCCTTGTTAACCTTCATGGACTGCAGGGCAATTTCTGCTACGGTGCCTGTAGGACCTCCTGCCTCCTCCTGCACTGACCTTGGTGTCTGCAGGGCTGTTTCTTACACATTCTCACTCCTTTCTCCAGCTGAAGTTGCTGTTTGGGTTTTCCTCCCTTCTTCAGCCCATTACCCCAGAGGCACTGCCACCACTGCTGATGGAGTGGGCCTTGGTCAGTGGCGGGTCCATCTCGGAGCTGGCATTGGCTCTATGGGAAAGAGAAGAAGCCTTAGCTTATAACAGAAGCCACCTCTGTGTCCCCCAACCCTTGCCATGCAAACCCAATACATTCATTTACACATAACCCATTCCACCCTGTCATATCAACGCTGAGGGAATTTCGTAAGGACATAAATGTATGATGAACCCATTTGAAGGCTGCTCATACTTCTAGAGCAACAAGGTAAATTTGAATCACTCTCATAGTTTCTAATAACTGTCACAAAAGCTGAATGCAAGAGCATTGAGGGGACTTGTGTGTTTCCAGATGTTAATATATAATCAGTCCAAAAGCTTTATCATTACACTCAGCAAAGGATTTTTCCCATTTCCATCAATATTCATGAGCTCTAAAGAGGACACACAGGAACCTAGATGTCAGTCTTGAGCAGAGAAGAAATACTCTTACTCCATTATGTTAGGTCAGGATAAAAGGTCCAAATGAGTGCAGCCCTCTCTGGATATCAGGAGATCAAGTAAGATACAGACCCTCTGCACGGAGAATGTCAGGTGCTACCCGCTGAAGCTTGGGCAGGTAAGGCAGAAGCTAGGACTGCACTGCAGGCAGCACAGCAAAGGACAAATGATGGAGTAGCACCTTAGCTGTATCTTGGTTCCTTAATTTGAGAAAGTGGCTCCTATAGCTGAGTCCCAACAGAGAACAAGTTGAAAGCCTAGAGAGAAGGCGGGAAATGCACCATAGCCATGTCCAGACTTGGCCATCACTATCATTTTTAGACTAGTGCAAAGCAGACCTGCTACATCCTTGAGATGAGAAGGACATGGAGCTGTTGGAGCAAGTCCAGAGGAGACCATGAGGATGATCAGGGGCTGGAGCAGCCCCCATACGGAGACAGGCTAAGAAAGTTGGGGCTGTTCAGCCTGGAGAAGAGAAGCTGCGTGGAGATCTCAGAGCAGCTTCCAGTGTCTGAAGGGGGGCCACAAGGATGCTGGAGAGGGACTCTTCATCAGGGACTGTAGCGATAGGACAAGGGGTGATGGATTCACACTGAAACAGGGGAAGTTCAGGCTGGAGATAAGGCAGAAGCTCTTCCCTGTGAGGGTGCTGCGGCGCTGGCACAGGTTGCATAGCCGCCTACTGCAGCCAGTGCATCTGCGTGTCCCAGCACATCCCCGCATCCCAGCACATCCCTGAGCCCCAGCGCTTCCCTATATCCCAGCACATTCCCGTGTCCCAGCGCATCCCTGTGCCCCAGTGCATCCTGGCTGCGAAGCAGTTAAAGCGTCCGGGACCCCGCAGCCCGCAGCCTCCTGACGTCAGCCCCGCGCTCGCTCGGCGGCGGGGACGCGCTCACAGCCGGTGCGGAGCCGGGCACAGGGCTGCGGGCGGAGCGGCGCGGAGCGGAGCGCGGCTGCGGCGGGCGGCGCAGCGCCGGCAGCATGTCCGCCAAGGAGCGGCCCAAGGGCAAAGTGACCAAGGACAGCGTCACGCTCCTGCCCTGCTTCTACTTCGTGGAGGTGAGTGGCGCGGGCGCGGGGGATGCTGCCGCACCGCGGGGTGCAGATCCCTACGTGATGCTTTGCCGTTCCGAAATTAGAGCCCCCCAGAAGGGGCGGCGTAATGAACGTCTTCTTGCAGCCTGGTCACGAGGAATTGTTGGCTAGGAATTGCTCGGAAAAGGGAAGATTTGGGCAACTAAAGCATGTTGTGTGCAGAGGAACCCTGCAGGAGGAGGACATGTTCAAGAAGGGCTGGCTGCTAGGCGAACGCCGCTTGGCTAGAATAAAAATCACATCCATGAGGGAATGCTTGGGAAACGTCCTCACAGTGATCAGCAGTGATGCTTTTACCAAGCCCTGGATTACGTGCTTCCTCCCACAGAGCTAAAAATGCCTGGTCTGGAAACAGAATGCGGGTCTCGGCACATCTTACAGGGCAAACCCTGCTATGGCTGCTTGGCTGGGAGCAGGTGGAGTTGCAGAGGCACTAGCTGCTTGGTGTGTCACTTGGAGACATCTAGCTTCCTGGAAAGCAGAGTCACTTTGGTGCTTCTGGAAGATCGGGAGCATACACAGGTTAAGCTTAAGGGAACTGGTGTGATGAGGATGTGTTTAATGGCACAGCAGTAAGAGGGAGGTAAAAATGGTTTATGGATTGAGCAAAGGGTGTCGGGGAGGTGACCAAGGTTCTTTGAGGCACCATGTAACTTACCTCGGAGAGAGATTGTGGAAATAATGTGAAGAACTTAATGGCAAAATAAGATGAAAGTCAATGGTAACTAAATAAAAGCATAAATATACACATAATTCTTAACACAGGAAATATTAACATATAAACATTGGGTAAAATAGAAAACAAAAAGTGTTTTCTTTCACGTGCACTTGCAGGGCTTTGGAGATTCTCTAGGAGCTAGAAGGGGTTGGGTTGAGAAGGGATTTAGGTGATAACAGAATGTCCCTGTTCCCTGCACTCCCCGGCTACCCAAAATAAGCCACACCAGCCTGAAAGCTTGGCAGAGGCTGGTGAGATGGAAGCATCAGGCACATCCCACCTGTGGAATTAGGCCTGCTCCTGAAAAGCCCTTTGACGGAGGCACTTGCTGTGCCATACACTTACATTAGCTTTGTATAGGAGAGAGAGGTTAAGCTTGGAGAAGCCCCTAGAAGAAGACAGGGGCTCCCTCGCTCTCTGTGCTCCCTTTGTTGCTTTGGGAATCCAACCAGGAAGGGAGATTGCTGGACCTCACCTAGCAGATAACTTTAATTCATGGACAATATAGAGATCCTGCAAGACACAACAGAACTGTGCCTTTTGGTGGGCACAACTGTGCCTTGGCCTATGGCAAGATGGGATGAAGTACAGAGCTCAAAAAAGTTGCCTGCTGTAATATTAACTGCCTACTTGTAGCTCCCCTAGAAGCTCCCTGGAGCTGTTACAAGGAATAAGGCAAAGGATTCTGCAAGCAATGGAGAACCTTGACTGAGCTCTGTCTTGCCATATGAAGCAGGCAAGTTCTCCTTCTGGCGTGGACATTTAAGACCTTCAGCAGGTCATTTACAGCTAGATCTAAAAGGAGGTGAAGATGTCTTCACCACCCAGCTGCTCTCTTAACAGAATGGTCTCCTAAGCAACTTTTAGGACTTCTATGTTATTCAATCACAGGAGCACAGCCTAGCGCCTGTGTGGGCCCTAATGAGTGAGTTCTCATTATTGAACTACAGATCTATGGCTCCCTTTGACCTGATGAACCTGTAGATATTCAGTACAAGGAAAAGCAATATCAAGGAAAAAGACTGACTGCAATGCATGAGAGCCTAAACATTGATTAAGAATCCCTTTGGTGAGTTCTCAGCTCTCCCATTACCCAGCAGGAGGATTTGAAACCATTTCCCATATTTTAGCTGAGCGCTGAAATCACCTGAGGGAAAGACTGACAACAAATCATATGGTATTTAGAAAGAAACCCTTAGCATGTGTTACTTGTGTCCACCCACCCTGCAGTTACCCACATGTGCCCTAATTCTATTCAGACTACTGAAAATGCCATTCTCGAGCTTTGTAGCACAGCCACAGCACTTCAACAGCAACAGAAAAAGGACCTGATGGTTTAGATTCTTACATTGTGCCTGGCTTAAGGAGAACCAAAGATTGAGTTGTACCTCATAAAGAGGAGTTAATCCAATATAGTTTAGTTGCAATGAGAAGGTTGCAAGTATAAAGGATAGAGGAGTTGCGCAGTGTGGTTGACTGGCATCATTATGTGATATGGATTTTGTTTGTAAGCAGGAGGGAAGTTCTTAATGCAACCCAACAACAGCCAACTATTTAAAAACAAAACTCATCCAATTTAACTAAGGCTCTCTGAATTTTAAAGCTATTACTTTCATGAATGGTGGTTGAATGGATGATGGGAAACAGGATTCCAACCTGTTTATTTCTGCCACTCATTTACTTTAATTTTCCCTGTCCCATTCCCAGCAGACAGTCCCTCCCCATCCTAAATTGCAGAAAAAATACCATATCCGTAGCACGTTGCTTACCAGGAAAACTGGGGTTTGCTGTCATCCACTTTGCATCAAGACATGGGAGGTGTAGGCCAAAGGAAGAGCAGATTGTTTAGGAATTGCATCACCTAAAAGTGCTGTTTTTTCTCTCTAGACAGGGAAGACGTGGAAAAACAATAGTAGGTCAGGGAGGAAGTCAAAATTCCAAAGTGGCAGTAAAGGGATGGGTTTGTATCACACAAATGAAATACACAGTGAAAAGGCGATACTATATATACTGTATACTGTAATACCTACTATAATTCGAGCGTGCAGAACAAATGAAGAGAGAAAGACTTTATCTTTAGAAATAGCAGCAAATACAGTTCCGACACTGAGGATTTTCTGCTATGAAGAACCTTAAGAGTTCCTGTTATGAATGAGGCTGACTCCTGCCAACACGTGTTTGGTGGCAGCAGCTTTCAGGACTGGATGAAACCTGGTTACACAGAATGCATGCAGGTCACTGCACAAGAAATACTGGGCCTGATTCTGGTTTCAGTGCAATTCAGAGTAATTCAAAGTAGCAGATTTGAGCAATGCCAGAGTTAAAGCATGAAAGCAAGATGCCCCTCTGCAGATGAGTGGTATCACTTCATTTACTCAGGAACAGCAAAAGGAGAACCAGGCTAAAGCTTTGGGAGACATAGAAATGAAAAGGAATTGAAATGAAGAGATGGTGCTTCTGAAGGAAGTGGATGGGTCATTCTCTAAACAGGGGCAAACCAATGACCATTACAAAGCAAATCTTAACAGTTTCAGTTACATATTTTCCAGTTTTGCGATTCATAAAATAACATGATGATGTATCCTATGTCTCAGAAGAATTTTTTAGAGGTTATTTTAAGATACTGGTGAGAGTTCTGCTTAGCAGAGCCTCTGATCAGCACACACCCCTGTGAGATGGAGAGGTTTAGATTGCCTTGCGCATCACGTTTACCTGAAGCACATGGTAATCAGCACTGCCAGGCAGTTTGGCCTGTTTTATTCCTAATCATACTGGTGGCATCTGAGGGTTCTGTAGCCTGAATGGGTTATCTGAGCTTCATCTGCACACCTGAGAAAGACAAAACTTGCCAATGCAAATTCATAGGTCAAGAAGGAATTAATTTTCATAGTAAAAAGTCTACGTACCTCTGGGGGATACTGAAAGTGAGCGTTCCTGGAATACATTTTGCTTTTTGCTAACCGACTTTCAGCATATTCAGGCTGTATCATAATGATAGTCACTTGCAGAAGAAATATGGCAGTGGGTTAATATGAAATCTGGAAAACTTCCCGGCTTATGTAGTTTCTATTCCTGGCAGAATGGTCAGAGTTTAGAGGCAGCACAGACAGACACATTTCTTCTTGGTGAAGGAAAAAGACTGTCTTCACCCACTTCCAAACCTCCCAGTTTAAATCCTGGTTTCACAGAAGTCGCTATGAATTTTGCCTTTGACCTCAGTGCCACTATTGCTTCATCCATTAATGTGGGAATGCAAAAGGCCAAGGTGTTGTCAACCTGAGTAACTTGATGCACTTACTCTACAGCTAAACTGTGTTCCTGTGGCACAGCCTTCATCTGTTGGTTGCTTAACTTCCAGCAGCTAAAATCAGAGACCTTTCAGACAGTGAGATACTAAAATCAGAGACATTTCAGATGGTGAGACATTAAAATCAGAGATATTTTGGACGATGAGAACAACATCCTTTGTATAGTTAAATGTTTTCCTTACGTTGTCTGCTAGACTCTTGTATATGATGCATGCATACAGATACAGGTTGCTTCTTTTCCTTAATTTTCCAGAGCAGAGCCAGGAGTTAACCATGGTAGGATTGTTTGGGAATGCTTCTTTCAGTACTGGAAGACCACTTCTTTTTCTTGTTCCCCAAGGGAGCTGGAATCCTCACCAGCAGAAAGCACAAAGATCTGTTATAACTGTAGGACTGCAGGCTGCAAAACACAGGAAGTCATCAGCTTCCATTGAAATAAATGCATGTGGAGAATGTTCACTGTGTCTCAGCACCAGATGCTTTAGGTTTTGTTTCTACCATATACTGACAGGGCTGGGTTTGAAACACAAAGTGTATGTACATATCACTTGGTGGCTCAGTGCTACTTCTTGGTCACATCTGGATTTTTTCCCAGCTATTCAGCCATGCATGAGCTACCACATTTAAATTATGCACTTCGTTACCTGCAAGTCATGCAGAGGTGTGAGAGACACCAGGGTAAAAGCCAAGGGAGTGCAGTGATTAGAAAACTGAGTGCAGAGAGAGTAGGCTATAAGGCTAAATGTTTCTTCCTCAGAACAGGATGTTTGGGTCTAGTGTAAGGATGAAACTGTACCACTGTGTGTTGGAGACCCAGTGTAGCCACATTTCTCTCTAGAGTGATTTTCTGTTATGCTTGAATTAGCCTTAGGGGGGGAAAAAAACAGTAGAAAACCCCAGAAGCTGTCATTATACCCATACTGTGCAAGCAGCACAATACTTTCAAATACACTACTTTTTCTCTCAAAGGAGCCAACCATGTGTGAGGGGAAGGAGAAGAACCACACTTAGCAGTCTGCTCATTGAGCTGCCCTTGTCATGTGGCTGACTCACAGAGGACTGATGTCACACTTGGTTAGAACACTGCATTAGGCACCAGCATCCCCCAGATATTAAGGGGCTGTCTGAGGCCTGAGGATGCTCCTACGCATTCAAAGCAGCTCTGTAATTCATTGTTGGAATCACTGACGCTACATGCTGCACATCACTTCTGTGCTTACAGAAGAGCTGTACAGCCTGCATAGTTTCAGGTCTTAGCAGAAGATGACCAGAAAAGGGCCATCTTCTGCTAAAAGGCGGGTGTCAGGCCTGTGCAAAGGCTGTCCTGGGATTTAAAGTGCAAGTGCCACAGGTTAGATCTCCCTCTGGTTTTGGCTACTTGCTTGGTCACTGTAGAGTTTGAGTAGTTCATGGGGAAACAAGGCCCTGCTCCCTTTTCAGTCCTGCACCATTCTCCTGACCTAGTACCCCAGCAGTAAAAGCTGCGTGTGGCATTTAGTGGCATGTAGTGTGTAGTGGCTTGTGGCTACCCCAGGACACAGTCCTGCAGGCATGCATGTAGTGACATGTGGTATGGAGTGGCATGTGGCATGTAGCTACATGTAGCAGTGTGTAGTTGCATGTAGCAGTGTGCAGTAGCGTATAGCAGCGTGTGGCATGTAGTGGCATGTAGGCTGTAGTGGCGTGTGGCACATAGCAACGTGTGGCGTGTACTGGTTTGTGGTGTGTAGTGGCATGAGGCAGTGCATGGCACATGTTGTGTAGTTGTATGCGGCATGTAATTGTGTGTGGCACGTGGCATATAGTGGTGTGTGGCTACCCCAAGACACAGTCCTGCAGGCATGCATGCAGTGGCATGTGGCATGCAGTGGCTTGTGGCATGTACCATGCAGTGCCATGTAGCGTGTAGTGGCATGTAGCTGCAGGTAGCTGTGTGTAGCAGCATGTAGTTGTGTGTGGCTGTGTGTGTCATGTAGCAGCATGTGGCATGTAGTCGCATGTGGCTACCCCAAGACACTGTCTTGCAGGCATGCATATTGTGGCATGTGGCATATAGCAGCATGTAGTTGCATGTAGCAGCATGTAGTAGCTCTGTGTCATCAGCCAAAATGAATAAAGAAGAGCTTATTATGAACCCTGAGCTACACAGGAGCCGAGCTGGTACAAACAGTGTATCCTGCTGATGATCCCATCACTTGAAAGCTCAGCTGGTAGGAAGGGTGCTCAGCGCGGGAGTAACCACAGAGAAAGGCTGGCACCCTTTTGTACACATGGAGTACAATAAATTGCAGTGTTGTGTAGGGATGGGCAGCTTTGTCCCATAGAGATTTTGAGGAAGCTTCGAGCTGAACTTTGGGAATACTCTGACCCAAAACAAAATGCCTTTTTCTGAAGTACTGCCTTTAAAACTTGTGATTTACCACAACCCAGCACCAGGAGCATAAAATAAGTTTCATCATCAACAGTAAATGCAATATCCCAAATCTAATTGTTTGGAGGTGTTTGTTGATTATAACTAATCATTGATTTAATAAATCAATATTAATTAAATATTGATTAATATTAAATCATATCATAATGTAATCATATAACTGTAATAATAATATAAGGTATCATCAATTATGTTTAAAGTCACACTGAAAAGAAATGCATTCATAGTACTTTTTGTGTTACGAAACTTTTGCCTAAGGATTTGCATCCTCTTTAATGAACATCCACTTAATTCAATAGAATTTTTTTAAAGTAGTTTGAGGTTGTTCCTACCTGAGAATTAAACACTTTCATTTTGCTGGTTTCTCCCTGTGAAACCAGCACTTTCAGGGTTACTGTGCACTGAGATTTCTGACATAAATAGAAATTTTATCAATGATGTATCATCAGCTTTATCATCAGCAGAAGCTCTTCCCTGTGAGGGTGATGAGGCACTGGCACAGGGTGCCCAGAGAAGCTGTGGCTGCCCCATCCCTGGCAGTGTTCAAGGCCAGGTTGGACACAGGGGCTTGGAGCAACCTGCTCTAGTGTGAGGAGTCCCTGCCCGTGGCAGAGGTTGGAGCTGAATGAGCTTTAAGGTCCTTTTGAAATCAAACCAGGCTGGGATTGTTTTGTGAAAGGTTTTCTATTAGCATTTGGCAAAAGATCAAGAGGTTTGAGGAGCTGCATGATGATATATGATATATTTTTAAAGCTAGACTCTAATTGACAGCCACCAAACAATTGAATTAAACTCTGAAATCAATGCTAGAAGTAAGGATAACTCAATTTTCCCAAATGGCAACAATAATAGGTTTCAGTGACAGCTGGGGTTTGAAATGAATCCAAGTTGAAATTAAATCCGATAGTGTTAAATCTAGGAGAAGAAAGACCCTCATATCACGGCACTACAACTGATTTCCACAAAGCTTAGACAATGGTGAGGTAAAAATCCTTCACCGAAAAGATCAGTTCCTTACAGCTTTGGGCCAGGTGAAACCTGCATCCAGAAAAAGGACAAGAAGCAGCAGAAACTCGAGTGCAGAGAGAAAAGCAAAAAGTCTTTCTATAGATGCCAATCTCAGAGTTCTGAAAAGCTTGAATTCCTTCTCTTATAAGCCTTGTGCAGTGAAGAATTAACTTTAGAACATAAAATAATCTACAAAGCTGATATTTAGGCCAAGTGAGTCTACAGCCATCCTGTGCTTAGCACCATCCCTCAAGAGTCCTTATGACGGCCCAGTGTGCAATGCATTTGAGCTTGGGGGTAGCCCCAGCCCTGCACAGCAGCCTCGCTGAGGGTAAAGGTACAGCACTGGTGGAGCTCAGCAGGAGCCATGGATTCTAAACAACAAGAGAAAATGGCAGAATTAGGGACACTCCCAGCACAGCACAACAGGACAAGATCCATGGTGGGTGAAAGCTGCAATCACTGCTGGTAGTTGGCTAAGAATACCTTGTCTCCTCCAGCCCACCACAGCTCTCTTTTTTGGCTCATCCATCTGTTGTGCCTTGTCATTTAGCCCATGAATTCTCTGGCACAAAGACTGGCATTTCTGATATATTTTAACAGCATCTTCCATGATGCCACAGCCTTGCAGTGTGAACACAGTGCTGTCATTAAATAGACCATTCTTCTCCCAAGCACTTGGATGGTATTTTTTCTATGAGGAGAAAGCGCAGGCATTCATTAGACACCTCTTTGAGGCAATCCTGTTTGTTTACTTGGTTGCTTACAAAGATTCCCAGTAAACAAGAGAAACACCAGGAGGCAGGCCCCATGCTCTGGAACTCCTCAGTGCTATGGAAAGGCTGCAGAAAGACCTAAGGATCTGAGAATTTCCTGGCTAGTTAATTATTTACAGCATATGAAAGATCCCAATAGTGTATCAGGCATTCCTTAACCATTTCTGACATGTGGGCTAGTCATACTAGCCTTATTCCTCATCTGACTAATCATGCCTTGGCTTCCTCTGAAAGCTATATGCATATGGCTTCTCTGTTTTCTACCTATCTTTTATATAGGCAAAATTAACCCACAAAACAATTCCACATCCTTTATATTTGCATCCAGTCTCAAGGAAAAGAAGTCATTCTAGCCAGCTCACTGAGCAGGGACTTCAATATTCCACTATAATTACAAGAGAGGCATTTCATTCCCCCATGCACACACACTTAGACGGACTGAAATATAGCTCAGGCTAATCACTGTTGTAGCTCATGTTTAAAGAGTTTACTGGAGTCTGCCAGTAGCCACCAGCACAGCCCAATACACCACCACCGCCACCACAGGATGTGCCCATGAGTTCATGATAAGAGATAAGGCTTGTAGTGCATTCTAACAAAGCAAAGACAGGTCACAGAACTGCTACCTAAGAAGCAGGTTCAGACGTTTAAGTATGTGCAAAGCCCATGGATTTTAAGATGCTATTCTTGTGAAGATAAATAGGGGCCCTTTACTTAGTTAAATACTGGCAGATATAGGAGTTGGATAGATAACTACCAATGTACAGCTTTAGAGAAAGGGAATTTGCAGCAGCTACTGATTCCCAGAGAGTTCTGAATTATGTATGCATCCAATTGCATCTCCTTTCAAGGGAAGATAGGAACTGCAGAGTGTGTGTGCATTCTTGTTACCTTTCTTTGGTTTGAGCCTCGCTGTCTCCATGGTGTCATTTAGAACCCATCAATATCTGACTGCCATTGAGTTGGCTGTGACGCCTGCAGAGAGAAAGTGGTTTTAGTGAAGCTTTGATGATTTGGAAATTCTCCAAGGGGAGGGAGCACCCTGAATTAGAAATATAGGGCTCTGCAGAGACCCTGTGGAATAGAAAAGTTAAAGGTCCTACACATTAACTCAAGAGCAAGCAGTTCAATGTTTCCTTCAGAAGAACGGGTTTTGTGCTTGATGGAAGTCAGCGACCCAGATGCTCAGCTATCCAAAGGACAAACTTGTGCTCTTTATTCATCCACTCCGGTGAGATTTTCCTGCTAAGGCTTGGCCTTCCACACTGCCGCAGTTGCAAGAACCTCTGCTATCATGCCAGACCTCCATTCCTGCCTTAGAGGGTGCAATGTGGAGGACTTGCAGATGTAGAAGAGATGGGGCATATGCTGGTACTGGAGACCTCAAGGCTACAAACAACTCACTCAGTGGTCACATAAAGGAATACAGAACTGCAGCTGGCAAAACTGGGCTTAGGGGTAACGAAGAGCACAAAGAACATCATCCAACACGTGTCAACCATGCCACATAGAGTAAACTGGGATGTAACATGAAGGGAAAGACCAAAAGATAAAGAGCAAGGTGTTAAAAGCACATTAGCAAATGTAAAAATGAACCCAAGTGCTTCCTAGGGTGAGGAAGAATCACCATCATCATCATACTGCTCCTGACAAAGGATCTGAGTTGTGATACACTAGAGTCATAAATAGCTCATTTTATACAGAATAACTACTTGTTACTACTAGATCTAGATACAAAATCCATGCAGAGCTATACTATACACAGATAACGTGAAAGTAAAACAAATTTCGCATTGCCTGATTTCTAACGTGCCTGGGAAAACTGCTGTTACAATTAAAACAAATCAAAACAAAGCTCCAGGCAGGTCAAGACAAATACAGACAAAACATGTTTGAGAAGCCCCAGTCCTGAGTCTTTACAAACTCAGTACTGAGTTAGTAGCAATGACAATACTGTATTTAGTGGACTACAGCTCTACAGGCTCCTCTTTCCATACACTCAAAGCCATGGAAAACTAAACATAGGGAAGTTTAACAGAAGCGTTTCCATCTACCCAGGGGTGCTCCAGCAAGTTTGGTGGTTAAGGCATAGCAACTGGGTTTTGGGCAGGACCAGTGGGGCTCCCATGCACACGCTGTATCACATAACCAGTAACAAATTGCGCTGGCACTGTGGGTCCTGGATAATCTTAATCCTCACAAGTAAATCAGGAGCACCCTGAAACTGCACGAGGAGCAATCACTGCATGGCCCACAGGAGAGGGATGGGCAACCTGAAGAACTGGTACATCCCACTTCTGACCTCCTCTCACAGCCATCTCTTCTTTTTTACCAATCTCTTCTTGTTTAGGCTAGGGCAAGGGGTAATGTGCATCTCTGATTCTTTCAGTCCTCTGCAACATGTGATACATGTCTGGTAGCTGTTAGCCAGCAGGAAGATTTGTTACCAGTTCAGAGGAGTCCTATGGCTTAATAAAGGCCCTTAACTTCCAGCTTAAGAAAATAACAGGAGGACAAAGAAAAACTTTGTTCTTTTAAGTAAGTAAAACCCCAAATAAAACACTTTCAGCAGCCGTGCTGACTGTGGTACTAACTTTCAGACTCTAAACAAAACAGTTTGATCACTGTGGTCAAACCCTACATTTACAGGTCTAATCTACAAGCTAAACAGGGATCTTTCTCCATCAGACAAGGAAGAAAATATAAAGACTTATTAGTCAAGATACATGAACTGAGGTGGGGGGGGGGGGGGAAGTTATTATTCTAATTAGGAACAGGAAAATTCCTATTCCATTTTGTAATTAAAACAATACACATTCTACCATCTAATTACATTTGACATTTTCAAGGTGTTGGGAGCTGAAGTCTATAATTACAGAACTACTTCTGCCTCAAGCAGAATAAGCCATAAATATTCATGTATTAAATAGCCACTTAGACTGTTTAGAAGATTTTAGAAACGTTATTTCTTTAGAAGCCTCGACTTTTAGAGCAAGCATTTTATATCTGTAGTTTTAAAGAGATGGGAAGAAAAACATCCCATGGGATCTGACGTATAGTAAATTGACTAGAAACCTATTCATTAGTATTAGATACAGTTATGTTTCATAGTCCTTTGGAATAATTTCTTTTCTTTTAGCAGAATGGGTAATTACAGTCAGAAATAATATGGGAGTCCTGTAGGGAAGTCAGAAGACAGGAAAATGCAATTCTTATAATTCCTTGATTTTGTAATTAATGATTAGTGCAGTACTTTAAAAAGAAGTTATCCACATCTTTTATTTTAGTGTCTCACAATAAAATAGCACTTCATATTTTGCCTGTTTTTAATAGTTCAATATTGCCATTTAAAACAGTTGCCTGCTTAAGAATACCATAATCAAAGTAGAGGTGGACCTGTGAGCAATGCAGAGCCTGTTGTTTAAGGAGAGGCCTCCCTTTCTTGACATTGGAGAAACGGAAGGACATAGAATGAAGACGAAACTCGGGAGTGCAAGGTGCTCCATGAGCCTGCCTGCTCTGTGTTTCCATTCTAGAATGAACCATCTACACATCTAGATAAAAGGGCATGATTTCTGAGAAGAGCAATAGGCACTTTGCTTATTGTGTCCATTTAGCTCACTGGAATAGGTTTGTGTTCTAAGATGCTTTGTCCCATGGTACCTGCACCCTGGCTAAGTCATTAGGTATAACTTTCAACTACTTAATCAAAGAATCATTGAATCACAGAATGGTGTGGGTTCAAAAGGACCTTAAGATCATCCAGTTCCAACCCCTGCCACGGGCAGCGACACCTTCCACTAGCGGAGGTTGCTCTAAGCCCCATCCAGCCTGGCCAGGGATGGGGCATCCACAGCTTCTCTGGGCACCCTCAGCCCAGAGGCCAGTGCCTCAGCACCCTCGCAAGGAAGAGCCTCTGCCTTAGATCTAACCTGAACTTCCCCTGTTTCAGTTTGAACCCATCACCCCTTGTCCTGTTGCTGCAGTCCCTGATGCAGAGTCCCTCTCCAGCATCCTTGCAGCCCCCTTCAGACACTGGAAGCTGCTCTGAGGTCTCCACGCAGATTCTCTTCTCCAGGCTGAACAGCCCAAATGTTCTCAGCCTGTCTCCATACGGGAGCTGCTCCAGTCCCTCATCATCCTCGCGGCCTCCTCTGGAGTTGCTCAAGCAGCTCCTTGGCTGGCCCAGCATCCAAGGCCAGGTTGGATGGGTGCTTTCCAACCCAAACCATTCTATGATCCCTGCACATCTGTAAAATGAGTAGAAACAGTCTAGCCTGTGTTGACTAATTTTGCATGCTTGCCTTATAGTCACTCAGGGACTGCAATACACCAGGAAGTGAGGAACAGTGCTATTTAGTGCAACCAGCTAAAGAGGTGCAATTCTCCCTGTGATGGACAGGAAGCATGACTGAGTTTAGTTACACAGTATATAATTATTCCATGCATATGATATGTCAGATTACATCCCAGTTATATATTCATACTATATGTATTACATATTGTGTATGTTATGTGCTATGCACAGTCTGTGTCTGTAATACTGTATATGAGTGCAGATATCCATTTATACATATACAAGTACACAAACACAGCTTACTGAAGCAAACTTACCAGATGCCTGGTGTTATTTTTGTAATGCTCCTAGCACTTAGGGATGCCAATGCACCTTCCCTCCCATTCTACACCATCACAGCCTCTACACTATGTGACACGACAGTGCAATCAACATGCACATCGACAACCAGACAGGCAAAATTCTTCCATTCTCCACTTTATTCTTCCTTAGAATTAAGACACAACTCACCCTCTTCCAATTTGTCCTTCAGGACATCAGAGGTAAGATGTTCTTTTCGAACAAAAACTAAGTTATAGTAAAAGATGTTTCAGTGACATTTTGCTAGAACCCTCCTTTTATCACCCAGAATTACATCTTTATGCACAAAAAAAAGTCTGAATTTTAAAAGCCCAAGGTTTGAAAAACTGAAAAAGACCAGTTACTGCAAGAAACCATTGTGCCTCTGCCATATACAGCAGTTTTTGTCCATCATTTACCCAATATAGATATTTTATCCAGTTTACCTCTGCTTTTTTATTCCACTGTAGAATGAAATGAATGACACTGATTTTAATCAATCAATTACTTTTGTAAATGAGTACTAAACATTGCAAGAATACTAGAATCTAAATATGCCTGAAATGATGTTAGGACAATCCCTATTTCTCATAATGTGAGGTGCTGGATGTAAGAGTTTTCTTCTCAAGAGCCTTATCAGATTTTTGTGATTTTACCTAAATGAGTCTATTTAGTAGTTGCAAGCTTTTGCTTTTCAGCTGCAGCTAACAGCGAGGAGAAGTTAATGTCATAGCCAACTCAGAAAGAATAGGAAGCAGATAGGCAGTCACATTATATTATCCATAGGTACCTTCATTGCAGTAGAGTCACAGGGAAGGAACCATTGCATCTCAATGGAGGAGCAGGCAGTTGTTCTAGTGGTATTCAGTGAGGACTCTAGGAAATAACAAACAAAACCAGTTTCTGAGCACTTACAAGAAGGATACACAGAACAATCACACGCTGCTGGTCACCTCTGAGTGCCCCCATGCTCTGCTCACTTAGAAACCAATGGCTTCAAAATGCCTTTTTGCTACTTCTTCTCTCAAACAATGCCTTCCACAGAGGCCTCGTGGTTCAATCTGTGCTTTCAGGAGCTGGTGGAATTCATCCCCAGAGGGGCCAGCTTCCCTCTTCATAAATTACTGCCAGTAATTGCGAGGAGTAAAATCACTAAAGAGCTGGAGGATAAAAGACTTGTGAACCAGAGTCATTATGGTTCTAAACAGACCACATCTTGCCAAAGTTAATTGCTTTTTTGATAGAATTACACAATGAATGTGCAAAGGCAAAACACTGTATTAGCACGTATTTAGATTCCAGGGAAGCACTGGATACAGTATTTCATTACTTTGAAATGTAACGCAAACTGGCTTTGATATAAGCACTGTCATATGCATGACAGAGTTGCTAAAGCACCAAAAAGGGTGCTGATAACAGCAGCACACTGAAGCCTCACATGGGACACAGCATCCCTTTTGAAGAAAAAAACCCAATTAAATAAAATGGAAGTTTGTCTATTAATGTTTCATAGATGAAAAGTCCAAATTACGTGAGCTGAAGGTTGGACTGGGTGTTTTGAGTAGCCTGGTAGACAACAGGGTTATTTGCCCTCAGCTGAACAGTATCGTATCTCTAGAGAATTCATTACTTAAAGATGGCAAAATGCATATGACAGGGAGCAGTGAGATGTAAATAGCAAACATCACAGGGACTTATTAACAGGCTATGTTGTCTTTGCAAAAGCATTGCTGTTCCATTTGCAAACAGTAATTTGTTGCTTTCTTCTCTTGCAGTTACCCATATTGGCATCCTCTGTTGTTAGCCTCTACTTCCTTGAACTTACTGATGTCTTCAAGCCAGTTCACGCTGGATTTAATTGCTATGACAAGAGTCTGAGTATGCCATACATTGAACCTACACAAGAGTCTGTTCCCTTCCTGATGTTGCTTAGTCTGGTTTTTGCTGGACCATCAATTACAGTAAGTTTAAGGTGCCACTGTCACTTACGAAAGATTTTGAACAGAGTTTCAGGTGGCATAAAGAAAATCACAGAATCATAGAATATATAAACAAAATATAAATAAATTATATAAATATATAATCTACATATAAAAAATACAAAATAGCTCCTTTGGTTTCAGTTAGGGTGCAGAGTGTCATCCAGGCCAATTACCTTAGGATTTTCAAATCATCTTTTATTCGTCTATAACAGAACCAGACTTTTTCCTTAAAAGAGTCCCTGTAGCTCTTTCAGTTGGACTTGGTGATGTTAAGGGTCTTTTCCAACCACGCTGATCCTATGATTCTGTGATCCTGACAGTGGACATTAATGTTAAGAAACAGCATTCACAGTTGGGTGAGAATAGCTTGAATCATTCTGTTATGCTATGCAAATACGTGAACTATTACAGGCAGGGCATCTCCATGCTCTGAGATACACCAACAATTCAAGCTTGTGTTGGAAAAGGAAGCCTCCCATTTACAGCCACCTGTGCAAGAACTAGCTTTCTTCAGTGAGAAGGTATAGCAATCATGTCAGTGAAATCAGTGAAATCTCCAAAATAGCACTGGGGCTCCTCTAAATTCTGAGGTAGTCATTAAAAGCAGGCAAAAGGAAGCTGGTTAAATCACTCACGCAAAGGGAGAAGATGATTTCAGCAGAACACTAATGTCCTGTCACAGTATGAGCAGTCTGGTCACTGTTTTACAGAAAAACACATACATAAATTGTCTGATAGAGGTGAATACTGTCTTTGCTGGAATTGCTGCATCAAATGAAATCTGAAGGCTTTACCTCTCTCTCTCTATATATATATATACAGGAGGGAATTCATTGTGTGTGATTTTAGGCAGCTCAGATAGGAGCCTTATGCTTACAGCACTCCAGTTTGGTAAATGGAGAGAGAAATTCACCTGGAGTGGGTGATTCCAGGCACCTTAGAAGCTGAATCAACCTTCTGAAAGGGTCTCTTCTCTCCCTGGACAACAGTGACTGTGCGTCTTGGGTAGACACTTCTCTAAGGCCAGCTGCAGATGCATCTCTGCTGCCAGCTCCTCTGAATTCCCTTAAATCCAACCAGTTCCTTTGTTTTCTAATACCAGCCAACTTGCAACTATAAAACCCATAAAATGCGAATGCCCATATAAAAACCACCGTGTGCCATTCCCTCCCTACCTTCCAGGATGATTTTAGTTTATTTGTCCTTCTGTTCTAACCAAGCTCTTCTTGCTCTGTTTGACTTCTGGTTGCTGTAAAACAATTTTTGAGGGATTTTGCACAGCCATCAGACTAAAAGTTGTACCCGTTTGGGAACTGGGAGCTAAGACTCTCAGTGGTCCTGGTGCAGATACTTGCAGCAAACATCAGATACTCTGATAAATCCAGAACTTGTTGGTACTGCAGTCTGGCTGGTTTTCTTCAGTCTAGGTAGTGTGTCTGATAACACCAACGTGGACTTTCCCAAAACAACCATAAAAGTAATCTACATGGGCTCACTGACCACAATAGAGAGGTAAAAGCTGATTTTTACTTCAGAGAGTTTTATTTCAAGCCTAGGTAATATCAGAAACCTTCAACTGAGATGAAAGATGATCAGTTCATTACAGAGCATTCATTAAGGGCTTTGATTACAGATGAATTATTTGAGTGTTGCATGAAATTATGCAATAGGAAATGTTGCTCTTGCTTCAGTCACCCTCCTAGCAGCAGTACAGACAACTAAGCCCAACCATGCCCACACTGGAGCACACCTACCAAACCTAAGATCAGTAAAGAAAGTAAATCCTGAAGCTTCAAATTATGACTACTTAAAAGCTGCAAGCCTTAGGAAGGTCTAGATCATTTTTATTAGTGTAAGCATAAAGGTAATGCTTGTATTAGATGGAGAATGGTCTCTGGTAGTGCAGAACACACAACTTCCTTTTATTAAAGACACTGAAGATGGTGTAGAGCATCAGCTATTTATCTGAAATAAGAAATTACATGAGGGGTTGTCCAATTATTCCCTTTTTCTTTGGAAAAAATAGGCCAATGAAGCTCAATGTAAAAAGATCACAACTGTGCCACTGTCATCTTGCAGAGTTTAGCATTTTATGATTTAATTTGCATTAAAATGTCAATGAATTACTTTATAAAATCTGTAAAAATCTAGAAAAGAAAGCATGAGCTGTATGAGGAATTGAGGATCTCCGGTAACATCTCTTATGGAGCCAGGCTGAGAGAGCTGGGCTGGGTCAGCCTGGAGGAGAGAAGGCTCCTTAAGGAGAGACCTTAGAGCAGCTCCAGTGCCTAAAGGGGCTACAGGAAACCTGGAGAGGGGCTTTGGACAAGGGCCTGTAGGGACAGGCCAAGGGGAATGGCTTTAACCTGCCAGAACAGGGGAGACTGAGATGAGCTCTTAGGCAGAAGGTCTTCCATGTGAGGGAAAGAACACAAGCAAATTCCAGTCTCAATCCCTCCTTAAAGCCTTATATAAATACTAGCATAGGACTTAACTGCTTTTCTGTATTATTATTGTTTCTATACTCAGTTTTATCCAATACTGGAGTACATCTTAAATCTATTCACTTTATAGTAAACTTTCTTCACCACAGACCTAGTATGTTGTAATTTCTTTTCCCAAGCCATTAATACAGAGGGTCTGTATTTGGGTTTGGGGCTTTATGGCTTGTGGGTTTTCCCTTTCCTTTTTTTTTGCTCATTGTTAGTGAGCTACAAGTGCTTTTAACCAGATCTGTTATGAAGCCCTGAAGTGCTACAGAAAATTATTACTACCTGTAATATTTTCACATGTCTTACAGCATGTGGCATATATGAATTTTTCTCTATGCATTCATAAACCACAGGAGACTTCAGTGCAGAACAACTGGATTTGTGTGACATTATCAACATGGATATTTTATACCTTTAATAGACACATATGTGAATTGCACTGTGACTTCTGCTGGTTTCTAAGAGCTCTGAATTTGATCCTCTGCCATAGTTTCTCTCTAGTTATTCACTGCAAAATGTTAGGACCAGTTATTTAACCGTATCAGTGTAGGTTCAAACCCTTACCAGCCACTGACTGAAAACCTACTTAAAGGTAACAATGTGCTTTCTAACAGAGATCACCAAGAAATTAGATCACATTGATTTGGGAAATCAGTTTGCAAGGAGAGATATTCACTGCTGGCAGTTTCAGTCCTGCTGCTTCTTCTGCTGTGGGAGTTGGTTTCCTTGGAAATACTAGCCTCCAAATTTTCCTTGACATAGGCCTCGCTGTTTCCCAATTTTCTCCTCTATCACACCAACTAATCCATCTCTCTGGTGTTTTAACCTGTGCCAGACCATCCCTAGAGCTTGGATAAAAACTACTAGAGTTCCTCTGGTTTAAGGTCGAAATACTACTGATTTCTCTGGGAAGTTTCAGCTGTAAAGTGATCAAATGGAGACAGATAATAGTGACCATGGTTCTCATCTAATTAAAATGCCTTAGATAACCCTTACCAATGACTTTTCCATGTAATGAGACAACCTTCTCTACTGCCATTTTTCTGGCAAAGAAGTAACATTTCAATTTAGCAAAGCTTTAGCTAAGAAAGAGTTAGACTAAGCTTGGCCATTGTATCTCCCATCTCCTAGGGTGAGGGGTCTTAGCATGCACAAACGTTCAGCATCATTCAGATGCTTTACATTGCATTGTAAGCTTTGTGCATTGCAAGTACCAGTTTCTAGTGCATCTGTGGCTGGCCAAAGTGAATCTCTCAGTGATGAGGACTGCCTCATTAATTTTAGTGTACCAACCCAATCCTTATTCTGAACTCTGCACAAGGCCTGTCCAGATCTCCAAGTTGCTGCACTACGGGAAGCCCATCAAACCTAAGACTGAACATGTATAAATGGCCCTGGATTTTCCAGCAAGTAACACCATTTGTCATTTATATTCTTCTCTTTATAAACCTTTTTCTAGGGCTTCAGCCATAATCTGTTTTGCTTGATGTGTTCAGAGGGACCATAAAGACAGAACTTTTTCTGCTGCTGTGGATCTGGTTAAAAACCAAGCCAAATTAAACACAGAAGAGCAAACTGCCACATAATTAGAAGCTGCTAGGGATTGCTAGGCTCAAGGCCAAGCCTGAGTGCTAAAACCACCTCAGGAGCACTGGGTTATTGCAGTGGCTCTGGATTATTTTAGAG